ATTTCCCAGTTTTCGTCCAGTTCTTTCTTTTCTGTTCTAAAATCTAATTCTCCAGTTGCTTATCTCTAAAGTAATTGATGTTCCAAAATTGAAACGAGCCCTTCTCCTCGGGATTATGCCTCGGAATAATCTAAAGTCGAAAGAGAAAACGCACAATTTGTATAACATAATCGAAAATAGATGTATGATAAGTACATATTGAATCTGGGCCGTGTAGTCCCGGACAGGTACACAATAAATTTCATCGTGCCAGTGAAAACACGATGGCGAATAAAGTGCCCGGAGGGGTTAAGCACCCCTTCCTCTACTCTGTAAATCCCATTCTCGAGAAAACTATGTTAAAAGGTAGAAACGAGTGCAAGGGAAAGGAAGGTGAGGCACGAATGGGGCGGGGAAGTGTCTCAGTGGTGCGAAGCTGGTAGAAAAGGCTGGTTGTATCCTAATGGGATAGCGACAGAGGGGGTGCTAAGGGCCAGAAAAGGTACATCGAATAGAAGCTCGAGAGCGAATAATTGAATGCCAGTCAAATTTGCGTAACGAAATCGCTGCAGTATGGAAAATCGCGAGACATTAGCAATTATCGTCCTTGCTAATCTCCTTAATACTTCAGTCTAAATAGAGAGTGTTTTGACTCAGTAATCGATTTAAATCTGGAAGTCTTCGGAGAAATATCGAGAAATATATATTATCATATTTTTGTGCAAATCTCACTTTTAATAAAATTTCTTTGACCGGATTTCAATACAAAAATATATAAAAGTTTTTAATAATTTTCTTATTATGTTGGTGCACAAAATAATTGAAATTAATTTACATAATTTACAATAATAAGTTGAACTAAACCGCTAACACTATTTAAAGAGTGTGCCTGTAATGGTTGAATTTTGGTACTAATGATATTTTTATGTAAATTCTAAATACATCCTCCACATTTCAATTAAATAATTTAAATACATGAACGCGAATGAATAAGAAACGCAAGTTGCAATAAATATGCGATGCACATATCGTAATTTGAGTATAAATCGTATATTTAAGTCATGGGTTGATCAGAAAATTCTTCTAAAAATAAAATTGTATACTCTATGCCATTGTTAATTAAATACGATACAGCAATTGAGTAATAAATAGCGCAACCTATTTAAAAATAACAATTTGTACACATAATAATAATATCAATAACGCTAACTTATTTATTATTTTTCACCGTCACGTATTACAGCGGTTATTTGTGCGGAACCAGAAGAAGGTCGCGCGAAGTACCGTTAAGTCCCGCGATATTTCATCTCTCACGCCCAGAGGAATTCTCGTTTTCCTCCGTCTTGTTTACCTACAGAAATAACGGGTTGCTTCGATGGCCCTATCTTTCAATTATCGGACCCCATCATTGATTTCCACTTCCCGCGACAAAGTAAACCTAATCCGGCGCACCCGCATGCCGTGTCTTTTGTATAAAGAGCCGCACGTACGTTCTCGACACCTTCGATCCCGTCGTCATATACAACGGAGAGAAAGTGCGAAACAAATTCATTCTCATGTGAAATTAAATTTCGGCAAATCCCAGGTCTACCGGATGCCAGCCATCCTATCCGGTGAACGTTGATCCACCAGCTTTTCCGTTCCTCTCATGAATTATCTTCGTAGTGGCGGATAAAATGGAAAAGAACTTCCAGTTATATAAACTGAATTACTCTCATCGCTATATACTGTATTCATCTGCATCATATTAATATTATTATTTAATACTACTTTATTATTTTAAAGATTATATTATTTAATATTTTTTACTATTATTTATTTTTTTTAGAGGTAATTGAATATTAAGAATTGTGATTGACTGATGAACCAATATTATACAAGGTAGAGCGTGATTTTGTGATATAATCGAAAAAAGAATGATTATTCTATTCTAACATGGATAGAAACAATCAGTAACGAAATAACATGACAGCCAATTAAGTTACGTGTGTATTCAATCGTATGTATTATATATCCAACAAATTTTTAAAACCAGTTTTTTTTCAAACGGAATCCCATATGAAAAAATTTTATACCATATTCTTTTTATTTGTTTTTACAATTTACAAAACAATCACATTTTCTTTTTTATTGTACACAAATTACACCTTACTCTGTACATAATTATCTTAGAACTCGGATAGCCACACATGTCCAAAATTAGGATATAGGACATCTTAAAGATATCTTAATGACATATTCCGATATAGATTGACATAGTGCTATCTGGGTTAAGAAGAAAAACATATCACTCACGTGAACTCAACTCAACTCACGTTTACACTACTTGAAAATTGGATCTTATACAAACGCATCGAATGTATTCTCGCCGGCCCACGCTGCGGCCGGCGAGAATACGTCTCTCAATTCGCTTTGTTTAAAGTTTATCTCCCGTTCTCATTTGGAAATTTTTGCCTCCGCGTTAGTGTACCGTTCTCGATGTGCGAAACCGAACCGCGGCTATTAAAGAGCCGAATCTCTCGTTTCGAGAGCGCAGAAATAAAGTATCCTCACCTAAACTGGCTTCTGCATTGGTGCACTGGATAAAACTGCGCTCGTAACGGCAGCAATTCGCCGAATGACGATCACCGATGTTTAATGGAAGTATTTCGCGGAGCGTTTGAAACTTGAACGATAATCGAGCCCGATTTCGATTCTGCAGCCCAAATCGAACGGTCAATTGGGCCGAAATAGAGACCGTCGCGTCGCGCGTGTGCACGCCGTACTGAAATTTAGCACGCAATTTTCGTTCGGCATTGTCTAGGTTTCATTAAACGACACCGTTACGTGAAATCGTATATAAAAGAAGATATGAATGCGTAATAGCGGTTGGATAATTCGAGCAGGTCGAGACTAACAACCAGAGAGAAGCAGGATTTGCATCTCTTATCATTTTATAAACTAAGCAACGTGTAATTACATCATAATATGTACACAATGAAAAATATTTTGTATTTGTGTTAAAAACGGTGCGCTCAAAAGTTTATTAAATTTTTATGTTGAATTTTTTAGCATATCCGAGTGTTAATTTAACATAATGCGATTATGTTAATTCGAAAATTGTGTGTAAATTAACATTTAACATCTTGGTGTTAACTAACAATACCACAATTTATCAATAAATTTATAAATTACAAAAAATAATGTAGTTTCAAACGTAAATTCTTAGATAAATGAAAAGACGAATACATGTTAATTTTACTGTTACCATAATTTGTTTCCAAACTGTATTAAAGTGTTACATTTTTTGTGTAATTTTTTACATGAAGTTTGTGTTATTTTCTTATTTATTCTGGAATAATCTCTATTATTCTTATATCTTGTGTTGAATTAATACCAAAATTTGAGTGAATCGTTTGGAACATAAATGTGTTAAATTTAACACAAATTTTTCAACTGTGTAAACTTAACGAATACTTACAATTAGTATAGTCTGTATAGTAAAATACTATTATCAATCATCAGGTTTGGAATTATCGTATACTGATGCACGCAAATAAATAATTAAAACAACAGACAAATATAATGACTATTCGCAGACATTCGGGTGTTAGGCAGAGCAAACGGCAATCATGAATCACAGCTCTGTATGACTTTACTATTTCTTCGTTTTCCACTCTCGCGCCCCGTCGCGTCGTATCAAACAGACGCGCGCCTTCAGATCCGCCGACTCCGAAAGTTTAGGCGCGCGCAGGTAATGGGAACAAACGATTTATTCGCGCGTCGCAGGTCACTGCGACGAAATCTCGGATTATCTCGACGCCACCGCAGCTGATCGTACGAAGGAGATCCCTCGTTAAGCACACGTCCCTCTCCTTTTTACTCTTCCTCGCCGCCGCCGCCACTGCCGTCGCTTTCTCCGTGGCGCGTCCCACTTCGCCATTCGCGCCTTCGCCTCTTCCAGTTTGCTTCACTCTTCTCGCCCAGGATAAGGGATGAATAATGTACTCCCCGACCTCCGAGCAAACCTCCATGCAACCTGAATGACAAATCAGTTTGCCGTCCGAGCCAGGTCACGAATCGACGTCAGCTCTCGTCCCCTCTCCCTCCCTCCTCCTCCCCCCCTCCACACAGCTCCCGGCACCATCTTCTCTTCCTCAAAGAGCTTGAATTTTCGCACAGGACGTTTCTCGTCCTCGCATGAATCCCGATGGCACGTCGGCATTCGTCAACGTTCTTAATGTACCCATCGATGCCGCCGGTACTGCGAAACTCTTTTAACTCCCCCACAAAACTCCCCAATTGAAAACAGAAAAAGATTTCCTGTCACGTAAACAGTAAATCGATATAAGTGCGACGCGACTTCTAAATCTACGATAAAATTTCTGTAAAGTTTTTGTATTCAGCGCCGGGAACGAAAATTTGTTAATAATTCGCTGAAAACTGACAGAACCTTCGACAAATTAGAGAGAATCTCTCTCCCTCCCTTACGAAAAAGGCACACGGGCTAGGAATTGTAATTCATGTAGTTATTGTAATCCCACACGAAAATATTACATTCGACGGACCACATGCGTGTAGTTATTGTAATACGAATATTATGGTGGCCAACTTATTACAGTAGACACATTACAAGGCATTAATATTTGTGTGTGGTTATTGTAATATTTTTCTGTAGTTATTGTATGCGATTAGACGAATTACAATCTTTTTTGTAAGGGCTAGCTCTCTCATAAAATTAAACTCTTGCACACAAAATAATTCTTTCAATTCACGCAAGAATGATAATATTGATTTATTAATTTTGATTTTGCTTATAAGATGTGTGCTGGCTACATTTTTTTAATTGCCATTATCATCACTCTTTTATCAATGACGGGTTATAAAATAATAGAACAGAACTAAACGTATGTTTTCAACGATTTTTTTAAAACAAAATTGTTTCTGGAAATGTGTTAAGGAAGTAATAACGACAAGCGCGCGGCTGAAATCTATTATATGGAAGACGTGTTTCATTAATCGAGCGTGGATTTCTGTTGCAGAAGGTTGGTTGCGACCTTCGAGTTGGTAGTAACAAGAACACAGATGCGTGTGGCGTGTGCGGAGGGAATGGATCAAGCTGCCAATCGCGATACTCCTGGAGTTTGGAATCGATATCCGCCTGTTCCAAGTCCTGCGGTGGAGGTCGGTAATTACTGAATTAATTTGGCCATACTTCCCTAGGCAAACAATTACATGAACAAAATAGCTCAATGTTATGCGAAAATTTATCGATCGTCAAACTATTATTATCTTCTATTGACATTTATTTAGGTCAATTATATAAAAATGTATTAAATTATGATTTTTGTAATGCGAATTTGAGAAGTAGGTAGTTTTTATTTTGAGATTTCGCCTGCAATCCAAAATTATTAGCACTTTTATAAATTTCATAATTCTTAGTACGTAGATCAAAATAAATGTAACAAAGCTTTGTTAACATTTTATTTATTAATAAATTATTAATATTTAATATTTTGTTATGTTTCACTTTTGTTTTATAACTTTTGTAATTCATTTTGATAAACCCTCTACCAGTTTTCTGGAAGTGAATTCGATTATTTACTTCCATTCTTTCATAATCGCGATTTGTAAATCTTGTTTCGAAAGTTTTTATCGCATTTCCGATTTCGGATCTTTTTCTTAAAATAAACCTGTTAAATGTTCAATTAGATTGAAATCAGGATTTTATAGAAGATTTTAAGACTTTTCCATGATATTGATCCTATTTTTTTTTTTTAATTATACACATACTAGAATAATATTTATAAATACAATTTTGCAATAAATTCGAAGAAAGTATACATTGCAAAGATGGATTTCAACTAATTTTAAGGAAACGTTAATCGAAAAAATAATTTGTCATTTTTTAAGAAAAATCCTAATTAATAGGATTTTTATTAATGATCTTGAACATGACTATATACATACAGTGCGATTCAAACGGCAAGAAAAATTTTGTTGAAAGGTCTAAAATTTTTTTATATAAATCTGGAAATAATTTTGTTGGACTATCACAAAAATTATATTGACACATCAAAGAATTTTGATGCTCTAGCAAAGTTTATGTCTCCAACATAATTTATTTTATCCAACAAAGTTTATTTTCAGATCTGTATCCAGCAAAATTTTAAATAATTTAAATCTTTCAACAAAATTGTCCTTTCCGTGTATATTACGTAATTATACCTTAAAACTGACATGTCGTTGAGTAAGAAAATAAACGAGTGAAATTCACGAGCATCGCGGCATTATTTGCATGAACGTTCGCTGTCAAATTGGAGGGCTAATTTGCCGGTCACGTTTTTTTTTCTGCGCTAATAGGTTTCAAGATAGGGATGGTGGTGTGCAAATCGGCCGACGAGAGCGTCGTGGAGGACAGCTATTGCGATGCAAACAGCAAACCTTCGGGGAAGTCCTTAATGCCGTGCAACACGCACCCCTGCACAACAAAGTGAGTATACCTTTGGACAGACTAAACTATCTACAGTAGAACTTCTGCATGCACACGTTCTACGTCAGAGAGACGTTGGGCCACTCGCGTGTACAATTGAGAAGTAGATATTATTGGGTGCCTCATCCCGCGCGCGCGCACGAAACTGCACGCGCGATTTCATCCGCCAAACAATAAAATATCCGCTCGTAAAAATAAAATGTTACTCTCTCCTCGCATTAACTTGCGAATAAATCGTGAATAAATGTTTCGTACGAGCGATATCTCTCCAAGCATGAACAAAAAATCATGATAACATGAAAAATGACGTCAAAATGGCTCCAAAATAAATAATAAAAGTTACTTTTCGATCAATCGTGATTTATTTCATTCTGATGCTCTCGTGACCTGTTGTTCTGCTTAGATCGGGACTTTCAAGAAAGTGAGCGCGAGGAGCGAGTGAAGAATTGGGGATTGGGTATATATATATATATATATATATATATATATATATATATATACGAGAGCGCGATCTTTGTTCCTACAACAATATTTCTCTTCCGTCTCGCGGAAGGGTTACGAGGCAACGATTTAAAGCCGGTTCTCCTGATGGGAATCGTTCGACAAACGACGAGATACTTCGTCGTCGACAGGACTCAGACAAAAACTCCCGCAAACTTATTCTCTCTGAATCCGACGGACACGCTGAGAAGTCGTGGAATAGTGTTGAAAGTTTACCGTTCTCCGGTATATAGAATTACTTCTTCGTGTTCGATGTTCACGGTTCCGCGATGTTCACAATGGCGATCGGCGATCCTTGTGGATTGTCTTTCGTCGCTGTTCCGCAAACGATCAAGGATTGCTTTTGGTTGCGAGTAAAAGCGGTAAAAGCAAAGTAAAGCTCGTGTCAAACTACACATTGAAGATTGAGATCATATCATAGATTAAAGATTGAGGATTGATTTCTACAAAAGCACATTATGAGTGTGATTTACATTGCTAATTGGTATTATATAAACAATTTAATTTAGGAAATGTCTAATAAAATAATAACGCGTTCAAATATGTATAATAATGGAAAAGAAATACAACCGCTGCTCTCTGTTCCTCTTAATAACTGCGGTTAAAGAAGAGAAAATGCATTGAAATGGCCGTCACGTAACACGGAAAAAAAAAGATTCCGTATTAATGGCATTAGCCAATGGCAGTCTAATTGAAAATAATCTTGTTCATTCAATATCAGTATTAATGGAGCACATAACATTTTATTAATAACAAGAACATGGTGGATTTATTTCAGTACAACCATTAACAAGATTATGTTTAATTAGATGCTACCGCGGGCTAATACAATGCTGTTAATACAACATCATTTTTTTCCATGTACGGACAAATCTTCATCTTTTAAAAAAGTAAAATAGAAATATACTTCTCATAACAAAAAATTTTGACTACATAATATTGTTTTGTCGATAATTATAATATATTGCATTAACAAAACATAAATTAATCTTTTTTATTTACTCAAATGTCACATGTCTATCATAACATGATTAAAAAATTGTCAAATCACTGGCTAATATTGCGATTAGATATTGAGAAAATTGATTGAATATATCCTAATTTTAATTTGCAATCTTAATTTTTGCTTTCTTTGTTCTGATTAGTCAAAATCCAATTATTTCCATTATAAAACTTAAAATTAAAACAGGCTAATGAGAGTCGGTTCTTGGTGCCCAAATTTTATGTATTATAACATAAAGTTACATTAAAAATACAGTATACGAACGTTTCTCCCTTACATATTAAGGATTCCGCTTCGGGAAAGGTAGTCGACAGTGACTTATCCTATCAGGAACAAGGATCATTTATTGCTCTCGCACGTTATGATATTATTGCGCTGAAGATGACTCTAAATGAGTCGAAACGATCGTATACTGTATTTTTAATGTAACTTTATGTTATAATACATAAAATT